TGTGAGGACATTATGCTAAGTGAAATAAGCCAGTCACAAAAATACAAATACTGTATACTCAATTTTCATGAGGTACTTAGAATAGTCCAAGTTATAGAGACTGAAAGTAGAAGGGTGATTGCCAGGGGCTGGGGAGGAAAGAATGGGGAGATGTTTTAAGGGTATAGAGTTTCAGTTCTGCAAGATGAAAAGAGTTCTGGAGGTTGGTTGCACGACAATGTGAATGTACTTATTGCTACTGAACTGTACAGTTAAAAATGATTATGGTGATAAATTTTATGTTATATGTATTTTATCATGATTAAAAAAAAATTTTAAGGCGTGATATTGTTTCCTGATTCTTGAAGAGATTGTTGGTACTAATAAAATACTTTCAGTTCTTAAGTTCTTGTAGTTGGCTTTCAACAACTTATTTTATTGATTTGTCAATTTGCATTTAGGGAAGAAGAAGGTGAAGAGGAGGAATTTGGAGACTTTCGGCTTGTCCCAAATGATAATGAGTTTGATAGTGATCAGGTGAATTCAAAGAGAGCAAAGTAATCATACCTGAATTCCATGTATTGCTGCTGTATGGCTTTTTTTTTCCTAGTCTTAATTCTTGAAAATTTTAAATTTGGCATTTTAACAAAAGCAATTTCCTAGAATAAGATGTTTGGGCAGAAGTTTATAAATCTTGTTTTAGTTGAGGACATGTTTTACTCTGTGTAACTTTGGGTGTGATCCTGTATGATTTTGCAGGATGAACTTAGTGACTCTGATAATGAAGATGTGGCAGCGGAAGACTATGAAGATGATGATGAAGAAGAGCTCCTGAAGCAATCCGAGAGGCTGAAAAGGAAAATGTAGGTGTTAGGTCCATTTTTTCAATTTCTAGAAAGCCCTCCCAACAGTTGAGTTGTAGCTTGCCACCTTTTTTACCTAAATTTGCTGGTTCTATTTTTGCTTTTTTGTGGTTAGCACAGATGAAATAAAATCCATTCACATGATGTCTCTTGAATATTCAAAGACAGTCATTTCCTTAGGTGATTTCTATGCTGAATATCTCTGGTTCCTTCAGCTCTTTCTCACGTGGCATTGCTTTCATATTCCTCACGTTCTGGATATTCTCTTTATTTTCACTTGTGGTCTGGCTACTGCTGTACGTAGTGGAACAACCACATTCTTTGTTCTGGATGCATTCTACTTAGAATGTAACTGAAGGTCATCAGAACTGATTCACTATAGATCCTGAGGATCTAGTAGACAATTAAAATTCTCTGTATCTTTTTTTCCTATGAATTAATGTCATTCCAAGTTTTCCTCAACCTTGTCTTGAGCAAATGACTCCCATTTATTTTTCTAATATTTTGTTATTATACTGATCATGTAAGTATACCATTTATTTTAGAATATTTAAAAGAATATAGAAAGATTTAAATAAAAAGTCATCTATGTCCACCATCCAGAATATTTATGGAAGTATTGGTGGTGGTTATTGCCTCATAACCTTTTTTATTATATATAACTATATAATATATAGTTACGTAATATATTATTATATAGTTGAAATCTGTACAGATTTTTTATATGTACAATTTTGCTTTCTTTTCCACTTAGCAAATCCATGAGCAATTTCCCATGATGCTACATAGTTTTATAAAGAACATTTTAATAGGTAGTCAATATTATATGTGGATGACTTTTGGATTTCATTTATAGGACATCATATTGATCCCTATTAGATTTATATTATTGTTTTTAGCCCATTCCATTCTTTTAAGACCAGTTTTCGGTTCTAATTTGTCACCTGTCAAATTAATTATCTCACAGCATTGGGTCATCTATAGATTTTTCTAAGGCAGTGGTTCTTAAACTTTATTTAAGTGCAGAGTCCTTTGTTCAGATGTAATTTTATAAAGAATGACAGCTAAAAGTTGAATTCAAAGAGGGTAGATGGAAAGATTGGGAAACTTAGTGGCTAGTAGCCCTGAAAGAATTCCCCAGAAACCCAAGGATTTAGAAAAACTCAGCTTTAAAAAAATAACGAAAGTCTGTGATAAAATTCAGCCTTCAAAAAGGCTTCAGACTTTACTCATCAGTATAGATAACAGGACTTTGAACCCAGAGTGACAGCAGTTAAAAAAATAATGAAAGTCTATGATAAAATTCAGCCTTCAGAAAGGCTTCAGACTTCTGCTACTCATCAGTGTAGATAACAGGACTTTGAACCCAGAGTGACAGCAGTTTTGTTCTCAATGGGAACTGAGGTCAGAAAAACTAACTAGTAGTGGTTTTGATTTCCAGTAACTTTGTGCCTCAGTCATGCCTCTAACTTGGGGGTCAAGATTTGGTAGACTGTAAGAGATCCCAGTCTATTTCCGACCCTGTACTATCTCTAGTCTGTCTCCTAAAGCTGATGAGCTTAATATAAAGCAAGATAATTTGAACCTTCCAGCACCCATGTCTCAATTGTATAGAGGAGATCGAGAGTTCTGGCTTTAAAGTCACCAGCCTAATTGAATCCAGGCTCTATTACCTCCTAGCTGTGTGACCTTGGGTAAGTTGTTTACTCTCTGAGTCTCAGTTCCTTCAACTGTAAATTGAAGGGAATAATGGTACCCCCTTCTGAGATTGTGCCCTGTAAAGCACAGTGGCACACAGGATGATGAAATGATACTTTTAAGTATTATCAAAATGCATTACTATAAAGTTTATTGTTATTATTAGAAGTGGCTCTATGTTCTACTTTTCTCATTGCTTCAGTATTCTGTGTGTGTATTTATCATTGCATTTTCTACTCTTCAAAATTATTTTTCAGGAGATTGAAAAAATACCTGGAAGATGAGGCAGAGGTATCAGGGAGTGACGTGGGAAGTGAAGACGAGTATGATGGGGAGGAGATTGATGAATATGAAGAGGATGCAATCGATGAAGTACTTCCTTCTGATGAGGAACTACAGAGTCAAATCAAGAAAATACACATGTCAGTATCCCAATAAGCCCTTCAGTGCGATGGGGTATGCCTTAAGGCAGACCCTATAAACAGCCAGAGTGGATTTGAACACTATCACTTCTCCTGTTGTAGGAAAACGATGTTAGATGATGATAAGCGACAGCTCCGTTTATACCAAGAGAGGTACCTTGCCGATGGGGATCTGCACAGCGATGGTCCTGGACGAATGAGGAAATTCCGATGGAAAAACATAGGTATCTTGGTTGTTGCCTTTAGAAGCAAATGGTACAATGTGCATATTTGTCCAGATTAAGATGACAAATGGAAATCAAAACTATTGCAGGCTGTTATGGAGCACCTGGCTGTAACCATTATTTTCTATTACTGGGTGGGAAAATTTTGTGTCAGTATGTGGTAAATGATAAGAGTTCGTTTGTATATGTCCAGGCATCCTCTCCTATGGGAATTGCAGGATGCTGAGAGCCTTAACTCTTTGCTTTAGATGATGCTTCCCAGATGGACTTGTTCCACAGAGACTCAGATGATGAACAGATCGAAGAACAGCTTGATGAGACAGAAGCCAGATGGAGGAAGGAGCGAATTGAACGAGAGCAGTGGCTTCGGGACCAGGTAGAAAGTTTGCAAGAAATTTGCCTCTTCTGTCTCTAGTGCATGAGGAGAGGAGCTAGCCACATAGCTTGTCATGGCAGTTTCAAACTCTTAGGCAACATATTGCTATCTCTTTTAATCTTCAAATTTTCTTCTGTGTTTTGAGGTTTACTGTGGGCGATTCTCTTCATGTTTCTTTGTCGAAAATCAATTTTTTTTTTTTTTTTAGTCTAAAACAACAAAAGGTTGGAAAAAGGAAAACTAATAATATCCCAGTTACCTTAGCTTCATAATCCAGGCTATACTATTTGGGGGAGCTGTAAACTTTCGTTAATACTGTCTGACTTTTATTTTCAGGCACAGCAGGGGAAAATTGCAGCTGAAGAAGAAGAAGAAATTGGGGAAGATAGTCAGTTTATGATGCTGGCCAAGAAAGTTACAGCCAAAGCACTGCAGAAAAATGGTGAGCTCTTGGTCCTCCTCAGGGTCTAGTCCCCTGGATTGTTAGTGCTGGAGCTTTGGAGGTGACTTCAACCTTCAGGGGCTATTGCAGCTTAGTCATGGGCCTGTATCTAATATTGTCTTAAGAAGGCCCTTCAGAAGTGGGGAGAGTTGTGTTCTTGGATCTTAGGCTATTGAGTGGTAGACGTTGTACTTGTGAGTACGTACAGATAGCTGCTTTTGCATTGTTTTTCCATTTTTTATTTAGTTGCCTGGGATTATATACCTAAGTGTTAGAGCTGGAATTCGAACCCAAATATATCTAACTCCAGAACTGAGGCTCTTAAACTCTACTCTGCACTCTTAGCCACTCGTTTTTTCTTATTACTGTTAATGTTTAGTCGTTAAGTTCAGCTTGGTTCTCTGTCTTTATGTCACCACTTGCTATAGTTTCAAGTCATCGTTGTAGAATAATCAGATTCCCTATGGCTTTAGTTTATTGGTATAGTTAAAGGCTTCTTAGCTTGTTTAGATTTCAAAGTAATCCTCCCCACTTTTGCCCAGAACAAACCTCTCTGTTCTTTTCAGCCAGTCGCACTGTGGTTATTGAAGAAACAAAGTCTTTACTTGGAAATCCTTTTGAAGCCATCAGACTGGGAAGTGCCCACCAGGTTGGTTGAGGACCTTGTTAGCCTGATGTCATGATCTGCAATGTTATAAAGGCCCAGGTCAAGCTAAGGGAATACTCTGTCACTAGGGGAGGGAGGTGGCTGTAGGAAACAGAAGTAAATGGCAAAGGACACTGCTATTTCTTTTCTCCTGAATGGGGTAGGATGTGTCCCCTCAATACCTGAGGAGGCAGGGAGAAACTGACTTTTCATCCTTTCTTTAACACTTGGAATTTGATACCAGATGACTCTTCTTTCCT